GGAAACTTTTAAAAAATATGTAACAACAAATGACTAGCAAAAGTGCTTGTAGACAAAATATTTTAAAGACCCAAATTATGCAGATTTGCCTGGCAACTCTACAGAAGAACTAGTGCAAATTATAAATACAATAATAGAAAATACAAAGGATAATAATAGAAAGCTCTGGCTAGTATTACAGAATATAAAAAAAGCTTTTGATTTAGTATTCTTAAGGTCATTAGAGTTAGCAATAAAAAGACTTAAAATCTTACAAATAATAATGATCTTTATTCTAAATCTGTTTGAGAATAAACAATCTAAAATAATAACAGATTTTGGTACAATACAATATTTTGAAATAAATGATGATATCGAGCAAGGAGAAGTAATTTCTCTTTTTGTCTGGAGAATCTTCTACAACCCACTGCTTTCAAGAATATAAGAAGATCCAGAATTAGAATATACTGTTTTTCAAAGAATCTCATTTAATTACAACTTAAATCAAACAGTAAAGAATAAATAGAGACAAGCAGTAGTTTCTTTTACTAATAATACAACATAAATTGTGAAAAGCAAAAACTAAATAGAAAAGACTATTCAGATTGCAAAAGAATTCTTTAAACTTAACGATATACAGATTAAAAAAAAAAGTCTAAATTAATCTTATGTAACTCAACAAAAAGAAAAGAAGATTACAGACTTTTCTTTGGTAATGAGTAGCTAGCAGAAAAGAAGAGAAGAAAAACAAAATCATAAGATTCTTAGGAGTATAGCTAAATAACAAGCTTGACAAGTTCTTGATTAAAACCAAAGCAAAAGAAATTGTATACTCAACAGTATGAATTTTAAACTTAAAAAAACTTTCTGTAATACAAGTACATATCATTTCATAGAAAATCATTTTATATATACCTTAGTTTAAAGACAACCAATTTATAAACAAGTTTATTTTATAGACAACCAATTTATAGACAAACTTATTTTATAGACAATTTATTTTATAGACAAGTTTATTTAATAGACAATTAAGTTATAGACAATTTATTTTATATACAGTTAATTTTATAGATAGTTTATTTTACAAACAGTTTATTTTAAAGACAATCTATTTTAAAGACAATTTATTTCAAAGATAAGTTTAATTTATAGACATGTTTAGTTTGAAGACAAGTTTAATTTAAAAAAAATTTAGTTTGAAGACAAGTTTACTTCAAAGAAACTTTATTTCAAAAACAAGTTTAATTTAAAAACAATTTATTTTAAAGACAAATTTATTTTAAAGAAAATTTATTTCAATGATAAGTTTAATTTATCGACAAGTTTAGTTTGAAGACAAGTTTAATTTAAAGAAAGTTTAGTTCAAAGACAAGTTTACTTCAAAGATAATTCATTTTAAAGACAATTTATTTTAAAAACAAATTTATTTTAAAGATATTTTATTTTAAAGATATTTTATTTTAGCAAGATTATTTTAAAAGTAAGGCTGTTTAAAGCTATTCTCCAGAACTCTGAATATCTACAAACAGCTAACAATTTGCAAAAATTACTAAAAATAGAAAAATCTGCAGAAAAAAAACCTAAAATAAGCAAACTAATTACTATAAATAAAAAAGATCAACAAAAAAATAGCCTAAAATAAGCAAACTAAAATCTTACCTGTCTATAAATTGTTTAGGGTCCTTATTCTCCTCTCCCTATTAGCTATTCTTCAAAATTAAACAATAAAAATTGAAATTGATAAGTTTTAAGTATTTGTTAATCACAACCTTCAAATTTTCAAGCATCAGTAAAAAATTAAATTATATGAAAGAATTTAGTATAATACTAAATTTATCAATTATATTAGTATCTTTATATTCAATTATATTATTATTTCTACATTACTTAGTATCTAATTTATACAAATTATAATTTATAATATAAAACATACGTTATTTCTAAATATCAAAAACAATAAAATTAATAATTTTTATATTAAGGTTTAAAGAAATAACATTATTTCAAATAACTTTGGTTTTATTAATATTTTATTCGCACTCATAATATTTCCTGTATATTTATTTGATATATATATTACAGAAATTTCAAGAAATTTATATGTAATATAAACTAAGAAATAAGATTTGTTAGATTCTGAAATGCTGCTTTATACTTTGCAAATAAAAATTTTATAGTTATGTGATAAATCTACTAATTTGCAGAATGTTAAACAATCATTTTAATTGCTAAAATCATTTATAACATTTTTTATTGTATGAAATTATATATTAAATATTATATTTCAAAGCTAAATTTAAAATATATAACTACATTATTTTCAATTTATCATTAGTAAATTTAAAAGTAGTGAATCTTATTTCATAATCAGTAAAAATTTATTGAAGCAATAAATTCATACAGTTAATTTTCTTGAAATACAATCTCTTTAAATGCAACATCTTCCTAAATGCAACTTCAAATTTTGACCCAGATATATACTTGATCCTTATAAATGCAATATTTACCAGTAACTGACATTCTTGATATCTTTAGCGAAAGAAGAGTTCCTGGCATCTTTGATGTTTGTGTTGAACCAGCTACCATTCTTGGTGTTCTTGGTGAGAGACTAGTACTATAAGTAATATAGTCTATAAAAGAAGAACATTATCTGATTCTTCTACAACTGCATTAATATTTTGTTCAGTACACCTGATTTTACAATCTATAATTAGTAAAATATTAGTTTCTTAGTCTTTTTTAATATGTTTAGAAAATGCTAGAATAAAATACTTATCGAGCTATTAGTAAAAGCTATTCTAAAATAATACCAAGAGCTTAAAGAACTTACTTTTTTTCTCACAAAGTCTTAATCTATGATTAAAAAATAATCAGCAAAAATAAATACTTAGATTGAATAAGTTAAAAATATTTAGCAAAAATTAATACATAAGTTTTATAATAAACTTATAATTAATTAAAAGTGTAACTCCATTGATCTTAATTGACACTTGTATATTACTATTCAAATTACAAGGAACTTGTCATGTCTTTGAAAAAGAATCATATTTTTCTCTCATGATTGAATGCAGTATTCTCACTATATTTGTTTCTACTATAAGTAATATAGTTGCTGTATTAATTATAACTTGTTGTTTGTTTCTTGAACTTGTAAAAATATTATTTCTGTTATATAATACTGTATCAATTTCAATTTGCTAAAAGTATTGATAAGTTACAGATGTATACATTATAGAATATGTATATAAATGAGAGTTAATATCGCCAAAGATGAATATTCCACTATAAGTAGTTTTATTTCATGCTAGACGCAATTGTACAGAAAATATTTGTCAAGAAATTAGTCCTTGATTATACATATTATAAAAGGAGTCTGAGTGTCTAAATATACTAAAAGTGAATCATATCTTATTGAATAGTTTAAAAAAAAATTATAGTTATAAAATAAAAAGTCTTTATGATGATTGAAATGTATATTAGCTAATCAAATAAATAAAATTTTAAACATACCACAGAATGCTTTACTCATTATCATATACTATAGCAATTTGCTGATTTTGAGTAGTCATATATCTAACTTGGAGAGTATTGAATAAAAACTTATAATAAATAATTTAATATGTACTTATAAGAAAATAATTGATAACTTTATTAATTACCATTTCTATCCAACCATGAGAACTTGAACCATCTGCATAAGTGATAGAGAAATCATCACCATTATATTGAATGGTAGAACTTTGAGTATAATCATATAATCTTTTATTTTTATAGTTATAGCAATCGATATAAAGGAATCTTAAATTACAAATTAAATATATTTTAATAAACAATATTTTTTATGTAAAAAAAATTTTAATACTTTTTACCAAAAGATCTGCACTTCCAGTATCTAATACCACAAGAAATGATCGTTGTAGTATGCCCAGATATTTGACTTATTCACTAATTTTAAAAGTTAGATAAAACCAATATATATATATATATTTTTGGCAGCCTCGTCAGTATTTTTATTAGATCAAAGTAGATATAATTATATCCTAAACTATCTAAGTTACAGATCTGATATCATTTGGCTTTCTCTATAGGTGTCCAAGTACGGTTTGCCTCACCAGTTAAAGCAATTGCTCATACTAGAGGGCTGCACCAAGCTAGCCAGTGAAACCATACTGCAATAGTTTCAAATTAAACGAAATTTTATCTATACTAAATTGGCAATTTTTCTCTTCTAAACTATCTTTCTTTCTATAACAGTAATCTAAACTTATCTCTCTATTAATAACCAAATCTATATCTTTTTCTCCTGAAGGGTTATTGCCAATATTCTTTCGAATATTCTTGTATCTTCACTTCTATTTTTATTTCTTCTAATTTATTTGGTCCTTCCTAATCAGAGACCCAGCTCTTAGAAGTCTTCTCAGGTTCTTCTTCTTGCTTTTTCCTTTCTGTTTCGAAGCTCTGTTATTAGATCTTTTCTTCTGTTCTAAGGTCTTTAGAAAGGTCTTCTCTTTTTTAGTATTCTCTGAAGCTCTTACTACTTCTCTTGTAGTTGTTGCAAATTCCCTTTGTTCGGGTCTTTTTTTCTTCCTTTTCTTTCTTTTGCTGACCTGAGTATCTTTTTTTTCTCTTCTTCTTTTTGGGTGTAGCTTCTTTTCAAAGAACTTCTCTTGAAATTTGATATAGGCTTCTTGATCTTCTAGCACTTCTAATAAAATTCTTTTTGCTATATCCAAAAGTATGTTCTTCTTTTCTTTCTCAGATTCATAACTTTTGTTATTCTTTCTGCTATAATATCTTGAATTCTGTCTTTTTAACTGTACTCTCTGCTATATAAGATTTGGTCTGTTGAATCCAATCTGCTAGTAGATCTTTTTTCTTCTTTTTTCAATTTTTACTATTGATCTGGATATCTTTTCCACTTGACAAGTACAAGGCTTCTATTGCTCAGTTTATTATATCACCCTATACATTCTTGGTTTGTATATCTTTTATCTTTTCCTTTTCTAACGTGGCTGTTCTTGATATTATTGGTCTTGATTCTTCGATAATCTTATTCAGAGCTTTTCTTTCTATTTGG